ACTGCGTCAATACGCCCTGTGTATGAGCCTATACTAATTCTTTCTATGAATGGCTGGCTGAGAATAATTATTGTAGAAAGGGTCACAACACAAGAAACTTCGCTGACGGTATCATGGAAATAATGAAAATTATCCTTTACCCCCCCCCCCCAAAAAAAAAAAAAAAAAAAAAAATCTAAAACGATAAACCTACATGTACATAGAAGAATGTTCTTGACGATGATGTAGTTTAATTATGCAATGGAAGCACACATAACTCCCACTTTGGAGAGAAATACAATCCCTTGGGTTTTTTTCATCATAAAACTCCTGATGATACTCAAAGTGAAAGCCAAGTGCTCAATACGACACTGCGATCAACTACGTGAGATCGCGTATGGATCGTTGTTCGAATATTTCTGCATATCTGCATTTGCCACTCTCCACCCAGGTGTAGTAGATGAGGACCTGGCAACAAATATTTCTTGAATTATTTTAGTGCCTTTAGGCTTAATTGGGCTAGGCCAGCGTAATTGTAGCATGTACTTTGTAGGCGCTTTAAGCATCCATTTGGATTGAATATGTGCGCAATATATTGTACCTATTATTATTTTATTATTATGATTATTGCTATCATTATCATTACTATATATTATTATTATCATTATTTGATAGTATTATTGTCAACAATATTATCGTTATCATTATTAGACCTGATATATATATTTTGAGCAAGCTTTAGCTTATATTTATGACAAAGAGAATATAAAATATTAACTGCTTGTTCAATTTTCATAAAACTCAATATGGGGCTAATCATAGAGGAGGAAATGCCTTAAATATTGCCATACGAAAGAAAATAAATAGCATAAATAGACTGCTTTCCGAATGATGTTTATGTATTTTGTATTGTAGTTATTAAACTTCATTGATGTACATCAATATTCTGTTTATAAACATATTAATTGAATACATTTGTTTTATCCCATAAATACATTCGTGAGTCAGCAACATCCAATGATCAATACATTCATTATACAGATCGCCGTTTCGAATTAAATAATCATAAATTAAGTGAAGGAGTTTATCAAGTTTATATGATTAAGATATTAATGTGAATTTTTTTTTTTTTGAGAAGCTACGTTCAGTTAAAGATGCATAGGCCTGAATTTTCATTCTTGTAAGGATGCACTTTGTAGATGAAGTTTGTTAAGAAGACAGTGGAGGCAAATACGAGGTGAATCACATACACTTTGAATCAAGTTTCATGAACACTTTGTCAGACAATTCCCATAATGCTAATCTGTCGAAACAATTGGATGCGTGGTCGGGAAATCTTCATACAAATCCTCCGCGACACGAGCAGCATTAGCGGTATTTCCTGCCCCATGAATTCAACTGTCTGTCGGTATATCCAGCGCAATTAGTTACAAGTTTAGCACCGCGTGGGACTACATTGCTACAAGCAGGCGACCAGGGACTCGTTGACAGATTTGGCGGTACGGACCTGGGCCAAAAAATACGATTGACGGGTGAAGTGCTGGGTGTCAATTCGCATGGAGTTTAACTGTCAATAGCCAACGCCCTATTACCCGGTAATTAGAAGCTTGATCCGGATATCTGGGATTACAAATAAAATAGGATAATCTGCTAAACTGACTGGATCAATAGGATGCTAATGAGTCAATTATCATGCATGTTTATGGACCGCAGGATGGCAAAATCAAAACCTTATTAGGCCCATTTGGAGCTTCTGTTGACCTCAAAGTCTTGGGTTTCGGTTTCGCACATGATAGGTTGAATAAGCCTGATTGGCAATACCGTTACTTACCAACCAACAGAAGTTGTCATGTGCAAGTCATGATTTCTCTCCATACAAGAGACATACATCATACAGTCATGATTCATGTTCGACTTATCGTACTCAATCATCTATAGTGACGACAGATGAAGCGCTTTCTTGTGAAAAAGATGAGACCTATCTTGATGGGGGGGGGGGGGGGGGTAATCCACAAATAAGAAGAGAGTCTCCACGACATCTTGTCGAAATGTAGTGAGAAAAAGGGCAACTGAACTGTGATTATAGAATAGGAATCGAGTTAAAAACATCGTGAAAGATCATCAAAAGTTATAGGATCTTCAAACGAAGGAGACCTCTTTTATTTCAAATTTATTGATTATACCTGCAGTAAACAATCCTGTTTTGTGGTTCTGTCTTTTTTTCTTTGTCATTTATCCATAATTTCGGTTTCTACTCATACTATAGTTATCATCATTTTGTATAATGATAATGATTAATTGAAATACTTGTGTTTCATTTTAATTTGTATGATATATGAAATGTTTTAACCGAATAAAAAGGACTTTAAAAAAGTAGACAATCCTTGATTAGCGATTATCTACACAGCAGCTTCAATCGTATAAATGGCGAGGTACAAGCAGAAAAAAAGGAAAAACTGAAGGTGTGTTCACATTGTTTTATTAATGTTTGGCACACTGTGGTGAGATACAGAACCACAGTATGATTACTTATCACGATGTGATCACAGAGAGTACATGGAACATGTTCATATCTCTGAAAGTGTGTTCACATTGTTTTATTAATGTGTGGCACACTGTGGTGAGATACAGAACCACAGTATGATTACTTATCACGATGTGATCACAGAGAGTACATGGAACATGTTCATATCTCTGAAAGTGTGTTCACACTGTTTTATTAATGTGTGGCACACTGTGGTGAGATACAGAACCACAGTATGATTACTTATCACGGTGTGATCACAGAGAGTACATGGAACATGTTCATATCTCTGAAAGTGTGTTCATACTGTTTCACTACATGTAACACACCGTGGTCAGATAAAGAACTACAGTGTGAACTCAGAATATTTGGCACATTTCAATATTCAAAGTGTCTTTACACTGTTTTCTTATATTATGTGTAAAACGTGTGTCACGTACTGGTACCCACATACATAACTACAATGTTTACTCCGTCTATTATGTACCAGGGATAATAATAAGATTGCAAAGCACGTCATGGCATTATACGTATATGTATAGAAAATATTGAAATATCAATTTCATCAACACAAATATGTTGTGTCTGGGTGTTTTAGACCATCAAAATATTTTAATAATGAAGAGAACTGTTTCACAACCCCCCCCCCCCCCAATGAGCAATACAATGATATACATGTACTAGTGTGATAGTATATAGATAAGGGATGTTTTGGTGACCCCTGTTAACATTAAATGTTCTATTTCTGGATATCCTCAGCGAGTCATGCATTACAAATAGAACAGTGTACTGAAGTACACACCTCCTGACCAAGGGGGTATGGAACCATATCCAGTCAAAAGAAATACTTAAGGGTTTTACATCACAATCAAAAAGTTTTTTTTATTACAATTTGTGTTAGCAGGCCCAGGGTTGATAGGCCTAAATTGTCTTTGATAGACATTTACCAAGAGGGAAAATGGTCGAAGCCCTTGTCAACTCAAAACCACAATTATTAAGAATTCTTTAATTTCCTGGTTAGGTGTATTTTATGGAATGCCTGTCCAATTAATTTCTATTTTTTGAGTCTCAAGCGAACCTTAATTTGCAGAATTAAAAAAAAAAAAAAAAAAAAAAAAAAAAAAAAAAAAAAAAAAAAAAATCGCATTTTACATATTATGTTAAATACAAACGCATTGTAAACCACGTTAATATGCCCGTACAAAATGTCAATATCCATTAAATTTTCAAAGGGTCAAATCTATATCTTACTTTTGTTTTGCTAAATGACAGATATCGTGGGTGTTTGTTGAGTAAAGCAGATGACCTAATTCTCGTCAATGTTAATGGCCACTGACATTATAAGTATAGGTGTATGTATGAGTGAAAGTAACTCTACGACATGGGCCCCATAGAGAGCTAGTGGTCATAATGGACAAAAAGACTGACCGCCCAGATTAACATGTCATCCATAGAGCCTTTAGAGTTATAACGAGGACAAAATAAATTAAATCAGTTGGTTGCTATGTTGTTTGTGGCTAAATATTTAGAATTTCCTTAATGTTTTCAGGGATCCCCAAGTCACACAAATGAACAGCTCAAATACTTTAAGACTATTTCAAAATGTTAGACCCCTTAACCCTTACTGTACTGGGCTATTTTGAGCACCCGCTGACTGGGGGGGGGGGGGCCTGGGAGGCCCCCCCCTATGATCTCGGCCGTCGATTGTCCGATGAACACGAAAATTTGCATGTTTGTAGATATTTACGTAAGGAACAAGATGGTATAATTAGTTTTTTCCGAATATGCAAATTTTTGTTGTTAGCCTAATTAATTATGCAAAAATGCTAATTTTATGCATTTTACAGAAAACATGTCAAACTCCACTTTTTGGATGTTGAAACTCATTATTCATATGAAACTTCTTTTCTAAGACAAAAAAGTTAATTTAATGTAATTAATAATGATAATTTATGCAAATTTTGATGCAATTTCTTTTTTTTTCTTTTTTTTTTTGATGACATGCGCATACTAATTGTTATGTAACGCCTTACAGGTATATCCGATTTCGACGAAAATGGTATCAAAATGTGCGTAAGACTTGAGGGAAAAAAGTCATGAAACGACAATTCAAAATTCCTAGCGGTTGCGGCGCAAACTCCGAAAATGTCGAGGGGGGGCCTCCCAGGCCCCCCCCCCCCCCCCCCAGTACAGTAAGGGTTAAGGACCAACGACATCACCCTTCCTCTCTATTATGTCACGCAATAGTTAATGGGAGTAATTTGATTAGTGCTGTATGAAAATTGTCGACACTCGAATAATTTATCAAGAATTTAACGGGTTGTGAGGGTTTTTTTTAAACTAATCGTTTAAAATCAGAGAAGATATTATTACATGTATCAATCTGCTTTCATTCATTGTGAAGTTAGAAGAGAGAATCAGGGGTACTTATTTTCATTTCAAATGATATTTTCTTGGACATGATAAAGGTAAATTAAACTAAAATTCAGTCACTTACGTTGCAGAGCAAATGGCTTTAGAGTTGGTTCTGCAGAATTCTGGCGTGCATTTAGGTTCACATGTTGGCGGGCCGGGAGGAGGTTGGTCATGACTCCAGTCACCATGTGCTTCAACTGGTACACCTGAGTAAGAGAGATAGGGAAGAAGAGAGAGAGAGGGATAGAAAGAGGGAAAGAGAGGGGGAGAGAGAAAGAGAGAGAGAGAGAAAGGGAGAGAGAGAGAGAGAAGGGGGAGAGAGAGGGAGAGAGAAGGGGGAGGAGAGAGAGAGATGAGAGAGAAGATAGTTAGAGAGAGAGAGAGAGAGAGAGTGAGAGAGGTGGTGATAAAGTGGAGAGAAACACGAGGCAGAGACAAAGATGATAATAGGAAAGAAGAAAAAACAGAAGGGGGAAGAATTTAATTTAATTTAATTGATATCTTTATTTATATACGGTTAAAAAGCCCAAACAGTTACAAGACTGATATCCATTGGGGCTGTGTGAAACAATGTAAATACATTGAATTAACATAAAAATGACGATGGTACATTAAATGACATATTCAAAACAAACAGGAAATAATCAAGACAAATATTTTTTTAAATAACGATAGAATAGTACTGCCGAAAATATGAATTAACAATGATCATGAGTGACCAAGAGATGGTTGATCTATAGAAAGAGAGAAAACATGACAGAGAACGAAAGAGAGAATAATAAAGAGTAAGATATAATGGAGAGAGGAAGAGAAGAAAAAGAGAGAGAGAGAGAGAAGGAAGACAAAAAAGAAGATTATTCAGGGAGATACATCAGTGAATGATGGGAGAAAGACATTTAGGGGATGACAAAGTGAGACAAAGGACAAAGACGCAGAACAAATGAGAGAGAGAGAGAGAGGAGAGAGAGAGAGAGAGAGAGAGAGAGAGAGAGAGAATGAAGATATTAAAATTCTACCACATATCTCAGTCTAGATGAGCGCAAAATACCAAAGGTTGTCACGCAATTTTCCTGATTTATTCTAACGCTGAAAGGTGTGACCAATAATAATCAAATAAATTATATCCAACCTTTATTTATCAGCGGTCAGCCATACTCAATCGTTTATCAAGCCTATCAAACTCCCTTCTCACAGTGCAAGTGTGTCAGTTTATAATAAAAACCATTTAGAGCGATTAACCCAGAAATCAAATCTTGAATGAAAGGGCAGTCTCCATTAAACTCCTTAAGTGTCAATATCACACGACATTTTACATTGTATTTTCTAGCCTAGTTTAATCATCAATTTGATTTTCCTGACCCCTCCCCCTTAATACAATTTACAATTCATGACATATGTATGGGTATTTGTTTTGTTACTATATAGATAACAAATGAAAAGTGTTTTTTGCTTTTGCCGCCCATTAAGTACCTCTTTTGCACACTTCACCTTTTAATTGTATGATATAAGTGTAACTTTGAGGATTTCAGTTCGATTGACAGTAAGTTTGATTTTCTTCCAGTTAATTCAATTCACATTTAGCATTTAGTATTCAATCGATATTGACAGAGTATCGAGAGTATTATCCCACAGAATTGTGTTTAAAAAAATCACTTTAAAGAAAAATATCATGTTTTTATCATTGATATTTCTTTTGGGTTGTGAACAAGGTAAATCATGTATTTCTCCCCAATATGAATGGGAACCTGAATAAAGTACCTATTTTTGTATACATATGCAAGTTGTTTGTTATTGAACATACAATATGGATATAAAAGATCTATAACAAATATTAATAAAAAAATCCAATATCCTTCTACAATCTTATCTCATAAAATGATGAACAAACATTTTGTTTTCTTCAGATGTAAAACGAATGGGCTTCTCAAAATGAACGACTTATTATTTCGCTCATTCTAACCATTAAATATTGAATTTCTTTGTTTTATATTTGGATTCCTTTCTTCAAAACATTTTTTCCCATTGACCTACTAACTGGCCTTCTCGTTATAAATCATTCCATTTCCTCAGTTCAATCCTTCATTAACCTTAATTCTCAAATGGGACGATTTATTGTAGTTTGAGGAGCAAACTGTCTGTGCGAACAGAACAACAAAATCAATTTTCAAATATTTTGCTGTTTCCTGTATCCAACCCCCCCCCCCCCCACTCCCGTCATCGATGAAGTTTGAAATATTCTTAACCTCTCACTTTTCCTTACCATAAGTTTTCCTCCCTCCCTCCTCATCTCCCCTTTACCAATATCATCCCCTTCTCTCTCTCACTCTCTCTTTCGTCCTTTCTATCCCTCTTTTTCTTTATCTCTATTCCTCTCTCCCTCCCTCCACCTTCTTATCCCCCCTCTCTATCATCTCGCATGCTATATTACCCCAACTAAACCTCTCGACAAAGACTCCTCCTAGGCTCCTGGCATGCCTCCTATAGTATGTGGGAACGTGGAAGTTGATATAAACAGGCGCGTGCGAGACATGTATATCTCCCATCCGTCACTTTCTGATGCCAGCCGGGGTTAATAGGTCACGATATGATTGCGATTTGTTGATTTATTTATTGTTTTACACGCCTTTGATCTCAACCGATTCTCCGCAAACGGAAAAAATGGCGGGAAAAGTGAAGCTCTTTTCGTTTCTGGACAGCTTCAGAACTATACATTAGCTAAAATTTCTTCGCTTTGTTATTACCTTTAGGAGACCGTAATGTGCATTGGAGTCTGGAGTCTTTTAAGGTTTCAATTGCAGGAATTCGGGAAAATGTGGATGAACTCCATTAATTCACGTTGTTATGTTATTTGTATGAATGCTGTGTGAAAATAAATGAATCAAGAAATTATATTAAAAAGTATTAAAGGGATACCAGGAAAAAAGATTTGTATAGAGGAGAAGAAGAAAGAGGAGGAGGAGGGAGCGGTTGTGTTTAAATCAAATTTGAAGAGAAAGGTAGCAAGAAGGAAGCGTAAATAAGTTCTTGTGAATAATTAACTATTAACTATGAAACAAAAATAATCTAAAGACATCATACTTAACAGCTTCACAGCTTGAATTAATTTGCTAATCGAATTCTATTAATACAAAATAATATTAGACTACTTTTATCAAATATTCAAACGTATCGAGGTAAAGGCAAATTTAATTTCTCAATGAAATACTAATGAAGCGACTGCCAGAAAATACCGATCCCAATTGGAATATGAAAAGCAATACAGAGACGAGAAAGTATCAAAATAAATAAAGGAAAGTTAGAAGAAGAAAAAAATCCAAGGTTACGTCCAAAGACGAGAAGAAGACGTATCGGAGGGAAACCCAGTTTTCCTTTGAAGCAATTCCGCCTCGGCTTATAATGCGTGTTTTTATTTGCAAAGGCATCCATTCTTGTTCCGCAATTCTCTCCCCCTCCCCCTCTCTCTATCTCTCCCTCCTCCTACTTCTCCGTATAAGTGTTTACTCTTAGCGTCCAAACACAAGCAACAAGCAACAAACGGACCCTGCTATAGAGGGTATTGCTTTACAAATGGCGCCCGAATTATGTCACAAATCGTCAGGTAAAATACATTTCAACAAAATATATTTGGTTAGAGAGTAATTTATCAGCAGACGGACAGTGACATTTCATTTTTAGCTGGAAATATCTGTTTAGTTTGTGTTGCGGGATGGGTGCAAAGGCGGAAACAAAACAAAAAGTTACACAAAAGGCAGCTAAAGATTTAATGGCTCAACATTGTATTCATTATGTTCGATTTAATTTATCTATAATAACATGGAATTTCGAAACATTAATGCTAATATTTATGTCATAAATATTACCTATGTGTAGGGCATAGTAAAATATACATGGGGAATAAAGTAGCTGATGAGAAAGACGGTGTTAAAGTGATTGACGGCTATGAATTAATGCATTTCCCTATCTGTTGAATGTGGCCTCCTCGTACATTAATTGGCGCTGGGTTCCCCTGAAAAGGAAATGTAATAGCTTATACAGCTCTCATTCGTCACTAGTGTTATTAGTTATTTCTATATCTCTTGTACTAGAGAGGAAACAGTGTTGTATTCTTGGGCGATTAATTCTATTTCCGCAATCATTCGATTAAAATAGATGGAGATTTGCACAGTCACGCTTTAACAATACGGCAAAGTGGCAGTGATGAAGCGTGGGTCCAGTTAGTAAGGGACTTTAAGGGATTTGATAGAGAGGGGAGGGGGGTACTCGGAAATATTGGCTAAAATGGGAGACGAAAGGGGGGTAGAAAGCACACACACACACAAATCATTTTGCCCCCGACATTTAAACAAAACAAAACAACAACAACAACAACAACGTTTTCCCTTTTTGTGTTTTTTGGTCAACCCAGGGGGGGGGGGGGGGGGGTTGAACCCCTAACCCCCCCCCCCCCCGTAGATCCGCCCCTGAAAATGTATAGCATTTTATTTTGTTGATGACATGTAAGTCTGCTTAGCCAAGTTTTGTCATTGTCATTCTAATGTTTACATGTACAAAGAAGAATCTAAACGCCCAATTATAATCTTAAACGTAGAAAGTAATTGAATTACTTCCTTTGTTTGTAATCTATCAATTATGACTCTTCCTCTTTAAGGGTTTAATAGTGAATGAACTCGAAATCAATCAGTTACAAGCCCTAAATAAATGAAAAATAACTCTGGTCATGTTTGTTGGCACAATGGAAAAGATGCAAAGATCCGTAAGATACATTAAACAGTGATAGTATTGTAATGATTATGATTTCACAAACAGTTCGAGAAAATATTTGTAGGATGTATTGCATTGGCATTTTATTGAAACTGAATATTTCGACTGATTTCATTCGATGTATTTGTTTAAAGGGATTACAAAACTTGTGCTATTCTTTATGTTATACTGAAGTTTTCGGGAAATCATACTTTTTCAAAAATCTATTGAGTTAATTAGAGCATTATATTCAATATTGAGTGTGTCTTTATTATCAGGGGCATTCTAACACCGTGGAATCTAAACATGCTAACATGACGGTGTTTTTCTAGTATTCGGTCTTACGCCTGAGTTACTAAATGAAAGGCGGGAGCTTTCCCTCAAATATCTCGTCAGATTTGCCCACTCACACGCCCGACTTGACATCTTCTTTTTAAATTAACATGGATGACTTCATGGCGGAGTA